TTCTATAGTTTTAAACGGTTATTAAAATATAAAATTAAAATGTTTTCACTCGTTGTAATTTGACTGTATCGAGCTATTCTCATTTAGTTTTAATAGAAGCAACAATAAATGGTGAAATAAACGCTTTATTTTGATCGAGTGTCCTCAAATCCGGAGCGTAGTCGCTTTACTTTTTTACAAAATGCTTATGCACAGAAATGCCTAAGTTTACAAAACAGCAGAATAACTATTTGTCCCTAAGAAAAGACGGCGGCTGCAGAACGCGAAGCCGCGTCGTCCTCAATTTGGCTTTGCAATTTGTCAGCGCGCCCCCTCCCCTCCCTTAGAATTCAAGCACGAACGGCGTGCTTTTATCACACACGTCGCTTTACGCAAACTATATATCCACGCAGCTAAGATTGTGTGCCACACGTGCATAAGTATGGACACGTTTTTAAATGCATGCTTAAGCGTTGCGAGATTTAATTTGAATAGATGGTAAAGAACTTTTATGTCAAGGAAATCTCGGACGTGTTTGAAAAATGAAAAAAATTTAAAAAAAAAGCTTAAACTTGTACGCGCACAGCGAAACGAAAAACGCACACCTAAATGAAATTAGGTAATGATGACATCATACAAAAAACATGCTGGGGCGAATGCGTCTTGTTTGGTGTGTGTGTGTGTTTAACAAGTTTTTAGTGTTTAAAAAAAGTTTCTCTTCTCGAAAAAGGCTCGATATATATATATATATATATATATATATATATATATATATATATATATATATATATATATATATATATATATATATATATATATATATATATATATATATATATATATATATATGTATATATATATATATATATATATATATATGTATGTATATATATATATATATATATATATATATATATATATATATAAATGTATAAATTTATATGTATATATAAATGTATAAATTTATATATATATATATATATATATATATATATATATATATATATATATATAGATATAAATTTATATATATATATATATATATATATATATATATATATACATATATACATATATATATATATATATATATATATATATATATATATATATATATATATATATATATATATATATATATATATATATATATATATATATGTATATATATATATAAATATATATATATATATATATATATATATATATATATATATATATATATATATATATATATATATATATATATATATATATATATTGTTAGATCGACTTAAAGTGGCCTTTTCATTGGTAAAAACTTAACTTAAAGTGGACTTTTACTTAAAGTGGACTTTTTTGAGTCCACTTTACGTTTTTGATTAGTTTTTAGACTAAGTTATAGCTGTTGAAAAGTTAATAGATAGTTTTTCTAATCGGACTATTGCTTCTATAAAGGTTTACGGATCGGAAGGTTTATTTTAAAAGCATAATTTTGAGTTTAAGTGTTTGTTATTTTGACCATGTATATTTCGTCACTGTACAAAAAAACACTTAAAGTGGATCTACATCTTGAGACTAGGTTTTGTTTATAAATCTTTACAATATTTAATCGAGTTTTTTAGTTCTATAAGACATCATACACCTTATACTAACCAAACTTAAATGAAATGTTAAATCTTTCTTTCTACAGATATAACATAAAAAATGCAATTAATGAGGTCGCTAACGCATAGATTTTGTTCAAAAAAAAAAAATTATTATAAGTTAAATTAAAAGAATTTATTACCCAAGGTAAAGTTAAATTTGTTTATCTGTAAGAAACCAATAAAATAATTTGTAAAACTAAATTTAAAGCAACCCTTACACATTATTTTTACACTTAATTTAAAGTCCATTTAAAGCAAACTTTTCAACATGTTTTGTATAAATCCATTTAAAGCGAAATTTCAAACATATTTTAAATAAATCCACTTTAAGCAAAGTTTCAAATGTTTTAAATAAGCTCACTTTAATTTAAGTTTTAAACAAATTAAGTAAGTTCATTCCAAGCGAGGTTTTAAGCGTTTCAATGTAAATAAATCCAGTTTTAAATGTTTTTAATAAGCTCACTTTAAGCAACATTTTAAACAGTTTAAGTAAGTCCATTTTAAGTGACGTTTTAAACGTAAATAAGTCCACTTTAAACGGACTTTTAAACGTTTCAAAATAACACTTTAAACAAAGTTTAAGCATGTTTCAGAAAGCCGATTAAGTAAAAGCGTTGAAAATAAATTATATTTATCAACATAACCAAAAAAATATATGCTAATAATCTTTATTTATCATATAACTAATACTACAAGAACAATCTATATATTATTTTCAATTCTATTTTTATAACTTAATTACTACGGTTTTAAATATTTGAGTTCAAACTTAAAAAAAACGGGCGGTGTACAGGTATCGTTGACGTCGAAAAACGCTTTAATTTTGTTTAATTGTTTTAATGACATTTCTTGTAGTACTTGATAATTTATTTATTTAATTTATAACACATACAATACAGCTAAGTACTAATATTTTAATTATATATGTAATATTTCAGTCTGAATAGTTCAGACCGTCATCAGACGTAAAATTAAATACAATTTTAATAATAATTTTGTTTATAACGATTTTATAAATAAATTAAAGAAAAACAAAAAAAAAAAAATTAAAAAAAATAAAAAAAAAGAAAGAAAGACAAAGAAAAAATAATAAAATAAGAAAAATAAATATAAAGAGAGTGGAGAAAAGAAAAAAAAGGAAATGAAAAAGCAAAAAACAAACAAAAAACCAAATCAATCATACCAACAAAAAAAAAACATTAAAAGAAACGAAAAAAGAAAAAGAAAAGACAAAAATCCAAAGTTAAAAGAAAAAACATTCGAAAATGAAAAGTAATTAAAAGTAATTAAAATAGAATATAAAAATTGCTCCGTTTTTGAAGAAACGTAAAAGAATATTTTTTAAATTTTATTTGTCTTTTTTGACGTTTGTCTTTTTTGTTGTTGTTTTTTGTTTTTGTATTCTTGTGTATTGTTAATTTGGCATTGTAGAGTATAATTCATTTTGTTTGCATCGTATGTTTTTTAATTTAAATGTTTTTAATTTTATGTTTGTTAGACATTTAAAAAAATGTATATATTTTTAAAGCTGTATATGTATATGTTAAGTATGTGTATATATTTTTATATTTGTGTTTGTGTGTGCATGTAACAATATTAAACTTTCTCATTTTTTAAAATGCTTTTTTGTTTTTCTTAATTTTATTTTAAATTTTCATCATGTTTTTTGTTATTGTTTTATTTCTTTTAGTTTTAAATATTTATCGTAGCCACAATTTTTAACTTTACTATTATTATTCATATTTTATTATTTTAAATTTAAATAAATGTTTTATGTTCTGGTTAGTTGTTAAGGTGAGTTTCCACTCATCCGTTTTTTCGCGGGAGCGGGATAGGGGGGGGGGGAAATCACGTGAGCATGCGTAGTTTTCCTTCAGACATATTAAAACTTATACTACGCATGCCCACGTGATTATTTTTCCCGTCCCTTTCCCGTTCCCGTGGAAAAAACGGATGAGTGGAAACTCCCTTTACGCTTTATCAGTCAATTGTTGCTAACTAACTTATATGTACATTTAATTATTGTGTTTATAAAAACAAGTGACTTATTAATTTGATTATTTTTTAATGTAATTAATATTATAATTGTTATTGTTGTTGTTTGTTTTATTATTATTGTGGTTCTTACTATAAATATTATTTTTATAATTATAATTATTATTCTTATAATTATTACTAATTATATATATAAAGATCTATATTTTTGGTGTTTACTTGATATTAGTAGAATTACTATTTGTAAATATCCATGAAATTATTTTTCAGAATATATATATGATATGATGAAGATATGATATAAATTTTAAAAAATTTAACTCCAGACTCCTTAAAATCCTATGTCTTTTTTTTTAATGAAAATAGTGTAAGTAAAATAAATCATGGTATTGCACCCTAATAGTAATAATAATAGCAATAATAATAGCATTAATAATATATTATACTAATATAAGATAAAAAAATAATAATAATACAAATTATAGTAATAAAAAAGTATGCTTACAATATTTGCAATGAAAAAAACAATAATAATAATAACTAATATTATAATGGTAGTTATCACCATAAATATTTTTTTTTTAATTTTTTTTTCCTTAGATTTAGGTTTAAAAAAGTATTTTACCAATTAAAAAAAAAATAATTAAAAAAAAATTAGCGAAACTTGAAGATATTAACGATATATAACAGGTTTGTATATATGTGATCGTATGGATTTCTATTTAGATGACACCCCATACGTTAATATATTGCAAATTTTGAATGCCACAAAGCGTTTTTGCAAACTTAAAAATGATGCCAATGCAGTTTTTTTTCTCATTCATTTCAAATTTTGCTACGTAATTCGATTTTTAAAAAGTATAAACGTCGTTTTGTCAGATACTGAAATAAAATCATGAAATATAACAATTAGGAAAAATGCTTATCTTAGTTATACAATATTTCACCAATAAAATATTGCTTTAAATTAAAGCGAAACACATGCTCTACAAACAGGAGTGCTTTTAAATTATTACGAGAGAGGTTTTATTTTTCAAAAGTTACAAAATGTCTAATAAAAATGTCTTTAAAAATCCAGTTCTACAAACAAGGTTTGTAGAACTGGATTTTTTAAGCTGGGTATATTCTTATAATTAATGTTTATGAGTTAAATTTGATTTTCCTTGTGTGTATGTGGAGAAACATTCCCCCCAAACCGTTAAAAACTGTAATTAAAAATTTATGAAAACTCAAAGTTAAAAATAAAAAAATAATAGTTTTGGATAAAATAAAAAAGCTCTTATAGGTAAATAAAATTAGCTGAGTTCAATCGCACACACGTTCGAATAGGATCGCAGAATCCTCTCTGCTTACTTTACAATTTTGAATAAAAATTTTACTTTTTTTAAACGATAACTA